ACATTTGTTTCTCTGCAGACACCCTTGATAGAAACCATGCTTTTCATTACAACTCTGAAAAAATTAGGAAATTAGTCATATTATTTAGTTTCCTTAAGTAATTTGTTCCTGTTGAGAAAGTTGATTTTTGTTACAATTAAAGAAAAAGTATTTCCTCCTACCTATTAAACTTCTTATTTTCAGAAGATTTCATTTGGATTCTTGAATTTATATTTTCCTATATGATATATTTCACGTTTATGTTATCTTTTACTTTTCAGAGTGTCTAAGTGTGCCTAATATTTTATAACATATATTTTTTAAATTAAGAAAAATACTATTTCATTAAAAAAAAAAGCTTCAGGTAGTTTTGAAAGGCAAAATATACACACTCCTGAAGGCAAGTCAAATTGCACTGTTATTATGAAGATCTCTCCACCTCAATATTTCTGAACATTTCTTCTTGCGAATTTTTTCTCTGGTTTTAGAGTAGTTGTGGCTGTGACTTTGAACTCTTCACCAGTCTTACACAGAGCAATCAGCGCCCAGAAAATGGATTCCCTCCAGGTATTTTGGAATACAACCTCTAACCCAATATGATCATTGGATATGCTTGTGACCCAACATAGCTGGAAGGCATTAGATTGTAGGAAGCTGATGTAGACTAAAATGTGTTTTTCTCTTATCCCCTGCTCATTCTTAATCATGACTCACATATTAATTCCTTGTTGTCCTGTTACTCTCTGAGACTGGTACTTGATAGCTCATAGGAAAAACTTTTTGTTCAAAACAGTATCTGCAAATTATTTATTATGAGTGAGTGTACTATATTCAGGCTAAGGGGTGAGAGTTTGTAAGGAAAAGCCAGACTTTTGAGGTTTTATGATCTTTTAGCCAAATTGTAGACTATATTTCCCTGAATTGATTCCCTGGAATTTTTAAAAGTTCTATCAGAACTGTATGGAAAAATAATTAAAGTGCATTCTCTCACATAGCCCTAATCAGCATATTGCTCCCCACACCACTCTAAAATCACATGAATGGGAGGAGAGAATGGGCTCATATGGAGGTTATGGGCAACCATTTGTAGCAATGAATAACATAATTGACTATACAGTTCAGAAATTCCAATCTGCTTCTGATGTTGAAGTTTCAATTGCAGTTGGAGCATCACAGACCAAATGATTTTGTTTAAATTAACTCCCTTTGAAACGAATGTGTTTTTTTATAATATTTGCCGCTAGCTTGTTCTTTGGCAAGGCTAGAGATTATTTCTTGCTCCAGTTGTTGAATTCCAACTCTCATCCAACATGGGCGGAGGTTAGGAATTATGTAACTTATTGACCGATAATACCCAGGGTATTATGCCACAAATGATTATCCCTCTTCAATTCACACGAGCACATATAGAATATTCCAGTTATACAACAGAAGCTAAAATCTTGGGAGTATCAAGCATCTATCGAAATTTGATTCTATAGTTAGGGTTGCATTTATAACCAAAGTACCACATGATATGGCTTTTAGTCCTTTTGCTGTCCAAAACAGAATATGAATTTCTGTATAAATACATAAATAACTATTCTCTTATGTGTAATCAGTAATTGTATAAGGGTGGGCTATTCTTCACACAATCTTGCACTGTGGCTTATCTTTGCCTGGCTGATGCATAATTTATTCTTGAGATAACATTCAATTCAATTCAAAATGTTAATTAGCTAGAAATTAGTAACAGATCTGTTTACATGATCATCTCCAGCTTTGCCTTCTCATCAATATAAATGAAATAATACATATTGAATACAGTATGCACATTTTTATGCCAGAGCCAAGTGGGGGTTGCCAATTGTTTCTGGCCATCTCCCATCCATTATGTGTCCAAAGGTTGACCTGCTTAGCTTCAGCAGTGGTACTGCATCATATGCTTTCAGATCATTCTCCTTAATAAAGAGAGGATTAATGAGATGCAGCTTAAAAGTTAGTGTCATTCACTGCATAGATTTTATTATTATTTCATATGATGTGAATGGGGGAATCATCATGACTGTTGCTTTAAGAGATCCAAATCAAGACTTGAGTCATAGGCAAACCAGTCACTGATACTTGAATGAAGGATAATATGAACTCTTCTCATTCCATGTAGCAACACTGAATAACTGGCAGCTGACTCCACCTTCAGCTCTGGTGATGGGACAGCATCTTCACACCTGAAGGCAAGAAATCAGTTGAAAGAAAGCAGGGCAGATAATGTGGCTCACTCCAAGGATCTGCCACTCAAGTCATCTGCCCCATTCTGCCTAATGGTAGAGCTGATGTTTATTGAAGCAGGTAAGAGGATGAGAGCTCTCCTCATCTGTGCTTCTTTTCCCCTCTATTCTATAATGCTTTGTGCAAACAGCAAGTGATGGAATATCACTGCACCATTAACTGATTTAACTGTCTTATGTCACATAACATTATCTCATGGGACCTGAGCACTATGCAGAGTAATGATGCCATATCATGCATTCCATTACAAAGAAAAAGAAGCAAAAAGATAACATTTCTAAAAAAAATAATATTACAACTCTCTCTTGATAATTATTTTTGTGAGGGAGCAAACCAGTTGCTTGGAAAGAGTCATGAGTTATTTAGTCAACAGGAGCTGAACCTTTATTCCCTGATAGGCTAGGAATTCCTCGGTGGATTTCAATAAGATATTCATCAGAGTTTGATGTAAATGGTGTCTCCCACCAGTTAAACAGAAAGGGATAAATGTAATGCCATATGTGTAAAACAGGTTTTTGAAAACACAACAGCTGCATCTTTAAATTTTTGGCTAGAATTAGTGGAAATCTGCAATGCAGTCTTGATGAGTTGTCTATATTACTCTGGAAAATCTTCCACCTTGCAGGAATTCCTCTACCATCTCCATGTAAAGTCATTCTTTAATTTTCCAATGTTGTCACTCTAAATGAATCAAACCTGGTGATGCTCCCTCAGCTTTGGACACTGTTGAGTGCACCATTTTTAGTCAAGAAAGAAATTCAGCAGCATAATTTTGTCCTTAAACTACACCACATACCATAAGGCAAAACTGGGCTCCTCCTTACAACAGGAGAGTAAGAAGAGGCTGGGGGCTTTAAACAAGCAAAACTTACAATCTCCAGGGTAGGACCCGGCAATCTTAGATTAAAGTGGGGTGTGCCAATAAGGTAGACTCTTCACATTAAAGATACCTGAATATTAAAAGTGCCATAAAGTGACTAAAAATAAAGAATTATTTAAATAATGCAGATTAAGAGAACACTGCATCATCTATTAATATACTTGGAAGTAAACCACACTGAATTCAGTAGGGTTTATTTCAAAGTAAACATGCATAAGACACATCTGTAGAAGTTTGTGACAAGTGATGTAGTAATAGTGCATGTCAGTTAGTGTTTTTTTCCTACTTCCTCACTTTAGCTTAACAGTACAATGAGCTTAGTCATAACCATTTAGTCTCTCTAAAATGAATTTTGGCAGCACTGAAGAGGGGGAAAAAAACTATTCACACTAATCAGAATGTATTTTTCCTACCTCCCAACATTTCCTCTATGATTTCAAATCAATATAGTGTAAGACACCAAGCAAGATCATGAGGATGAATTATTAAAGTTGAGCTCTTGGAATGTTAAATAATTTTTTTCCCAATTTTCTAAAAAAACAACAAAAACATTATCCCCAGATTTATTTTAGAATAGTGCCCTCATTTCTAAGCATCTAGCAGTAATAAATTAATTAGGATTGTGATTAATCTGAAATGATAACTTCTGCTATTATATATCATTTATGGGCAAGTGCAAGACAAGAAACATATCTCGTATAAAAACCCCTGAATTACTGCATAAAATCATAACTAAAAATAACAATTAAAATAGCAAAACCCAATATAAATCATGACAAAAAGTGTTTTCTTATAAGCTGCTAAGACCTTACAGGGGTGGGTGGGTGTTGAAATAAACAAAGGTCTAGCACAGGTTTTTTTTTTTTTAAGACTGCAACTTTAGATATCTGCAGATTGCATAAATGTGTTGTGTCATATAATCATATCAAAGTTATTTGCAAACAGTATACAAACTGGAATGCTTTAATATGAGACACAACCACATACATACGTTCATAAGAAAAACAGAGCTATTATATAAAAATCTAATTAAGGGAATGCATTAAGTTAGCCATGCCATTGAGGTTAAGGAGAGGAAAAAAAATATAGTTTCTGGAATGGGTAATATCTCCAGATGTTAAAAAATTAGATTTTTCTCTAGCTGGTGCTCTCCAGATGTCTTGAACTCAGGCTGAATACCTTGCTGTCTCAAAGAGCAGGACAGTGGTCCCTATTTTCATATATAATAGCTAACTGGATTTACAATGTTTCTTTAATTCAGATAGGAAATAGCCTCTTCCAATCAAGGCTATAAGGCATTCAAAAGAGGCTGCCTCATCATCATAGGGCACATTACAACCCTCTTAATTTCCTAATCAGCACCATCTCTTACCTTCCTTGGAGGGGCATTATGGAATTGAAGTCCAGCACATCTGGAGAGTTCCAGGTTTGGGAAGGCTAGTTTCAAGATTTATCTGATTCTAGGCCTTTTGTGAGGGTTGTTTTTTTTTTAGTAGAGAATGAATTTCTGCCCATGTTAAACCAATCGTAGCCTTAAGGACTAGTATAAGGAATGTTAAGATATTCTTCTTGCCAATCCCACATATTTTACAAAAAAGAAAGAAAGAAATAATTACTAAAGGCATATTTTTCACTCATCTGAAATGTAAACTTGTTAGGGGCACGAAGGGGCTTCATGTCCTGAATTGCACTGATAACATTGTTGGCACTCAAGAACAAAGAAAAGACAAATTGATTTTTGCTTAGTTCCTATGTGCATCTCGACTGGTGAAATGAGGCTTCTTTAGAATTTGCAGGTTGTACTAATTTTTACCCCCACTCCTCCTTTCCCCTCCCCTTCTTCTGTGGTATCTCTTTTTCACAGTCTGTCTTCTTATTTTTGATGTGCCTCTGTTTTATTTGAGCTTAAGTTGGTTGCATTTGATAAAGCTGTATTTCTTTCTGCTTTGGGTAATTCTGGCCCCTCATACTCCCAAGGGCAGATTTCCACACGAGACATTAAAGGTTTCTGTGAGTTATTAGTTGCTGATTTAGCAGGATTAGAAGGAAATGCCTTCCCTGGTGGAGAGGAAGATGCATGTTTTGTTTGGATTTCCAATTTATTGGTAAAATCTTTCTCTGTGGTTTGTACGGTTGCTTTGAGGAGCATGTCCTTGGAATCTCCAGCACAAATGCTCTCTGCATAATGTTTATTATTAATATTTTCACTTTTTGTCCCAGAAACGTCTTGGAGACTGCAATTTTTTTCTTCTTCCACCCCATGTTCTTCTTGAATCTCCCAAGGACACATGTCACCTGTCTCTGTGCTCTTTTGAAGGGGTATCTGATACTCTTCAGCAGTCTTAGGTTGAGATTGGCCCTTTGTTTGAGCAGGGTGGACAGTCTCTGAGTCAGAGGAAGCAATAGAGACATGCTTTTGAATTTTAGAATCAGAAAGCCCAGTCTCTGGGGTCTGGTCATGGATTTCCCAAGGACAAATTTCTCCTATGTCAATACTTGTCTTCAGTGGGCATTTACCAGCTCCTGCATCAAGACTGGACTTTTGTTGTTTCATTATCCCAGATTTATGAGGCTTCTTTGACTCTTCAGCTTGGGTTGAATTTCTTCGATATGAATCTTTATGGTCAGTTTTTTCAGAGCTGGCATGTTTTTTGCTGACCTCTTTGCTCTTTGGTTGAGACTTGTGAGATTTGACACTTTCTTCATTTTGGGTTTTCCCTGCTAACCCCAGAGTTTTCTCTTTGGCACTGGCAATAACACTAAGTGATTTCTGTAACACAGATGTTCTTGGATGGAGAGGTTTCTTATCTGCACTTAAATTGTGAGCACTCATAGATTTGCACACCAAGGGAACATTTTCGGTGGACACAGCTTCAGTTTTTTCTGCAGGTTTTTGGGTTGCTTTGTTTTCAGAAAGAGAATCCAACAATGATGTCTCTGCAGTTGAAATAACCTCCCCACTTTCTGTGGTTAAGCCTTTTGACTCTTCAGTTGGGTCTCGGACATGGTCATATGTGCTGTGGGACTTTTTTAAGGAGAAAACTCTGTTTCTCAAAGATTCCTCTTTTGGTCTGATGTGTCCACTAGAATCTGGTGGGTTTTTTCTTGTCATGGCAATGTTTTTGGAACTCCCATGTTCCAGAAAATCTTTTTCCTCCCTTGAACATTGCCTAGTGACAGTCTCAGGAATTTCAGTAATTCTTCTCATGATTGAGCGACCCAAACCTTTTTTTGAGCATCTCTTTTTCTGGAGGTGTGGATTGTTGGTGATCATTTTTTTCCTTTTATAGATCTCCAACTGAGCATACAATTTTTTCAATTCATCCTGCAAAGTAATAGGCAAAATGAGTAAGGATCATATATATTCTGCAAAAGTCAACCTAGAATGGAACATGGAGAAGCCAACTACAAATCCATGTGTAAAATATCTTCATCTATCAATTGGTATAAGTTGCTTAGGATCATTTAAACAAGCAGCATGTAAATAATTGTAATAAATCAATAAGTAAAAAAGTAAATATAATTTGCCATGATAGTGCAATGGTTAGGATGCAGTATTGCAGACTAACTTTGCATTCCACTAATCCAGGAATTTAATCCTGACCGGTTCATGGTTGACTCAGCCTTCCATCCTTCTGAGGTCAACAAAATGAGGAGCCAGATTGTTGGGGGCAATAGGCTCTTTGTAAACTACTTAGAGAGTACTGTAAAGGACTTTGTAGTGGTACATAAGTCTAAGTTCTATTGCTATAACCCATGTGAGTGAATGTATGTGTGTTGAAGATTTCTAGAATCTACCATCAGGTGAATTCTTAAATTAGTAACTTAGCTTCTGTAATCATTACCTTACAATTTCTCAGCCATGCGGTTTCACAAATAATGTAGATTATTATTTTTTGCTATCAACAGTTATCACTACCACCTTATCAGTTTGCATAAAATAAACAGTTGGTGCCAAACTTAATTCATATTCCATGTATCAATTTTCTTGATTTAAAACTCATTTGGATTTTTGCAGTCCCTATCAAAATACAGGAGATCATCTGTTCTGAAAGAAAAAGGAAGTGAAAAACTAAATTCAGTCTTTCATTCAGATTCTCTCTTCCCGAATAGATAATCAGCAGAATTATGTGCAGCCTGTCCCCCATTTATATACAGTATGATTTTTCTTATAGAAAAAATCTTATAGAGGACAGGTACCATGATCCTGAAGCTTTTGAATACAGGCATAGAAATCATTTTCATATATGAATTTGCACATATTAAGAATCAACTCTAAACCACTTTGATCTCACACCTTCAATTGGACTAGGGAGCCAAACTGATTTCTTTCTGCCTCTATGTCAGTTTATTTGAAACCAATGTCATTTCCCCCTTGAATTACTGTGGACCTGCAGAACATATGAGCAGTTGGTTTGCCCATGATAAGAACTATTGGTCACTCTGCATCCTAGGTCTTGTAGCATCCTATTCCTGATGAGTGTCTGTAGCACTTTTTATAATTTATCTGCTGTTATCTTCATACCAGCCACATATCAACAAGCAACTAATATTTGCTTGTGCATATAGTTAGCGATATAAAAGGGGAAAATGCCATTATAGCTGCAAGAAGCTTTTAGATGTACTAAGAATAGCAGCTTGGCAGCCAGGAGCTTCCTCTTATAGTGATTACTTAGATTTTGAGAGGAGCAAACAAAAAATGCACCTAGCATGAAGACTAGGAGGAGGTCCTAATAAATTATTTCCCTTTTGTACAGTATGTACTGGAGATAAAGAGAATTTTGATACTTTAAGGAAGGTGATGCTTCAAAATAGGACACTATTTGAGTGGCATTGTTGACAACTCTTTATTGATCAGCTGGAGGGAATGCAATGATTTTTACCTGTTCTCAGGATTTTTAGGTTGGCAGAAGTGAGGACAATTGAAAGTTGGTTTCAAATAATGTTTTGAAAGATTAGCAATTGAAACACTTACTGATTAAAAAAACTTAATGGAGCCAGTAGTGAGTTGAATGTCAATGCACAATTAGTAACTCCTTAATTGGAGATAACCCAGACCCACATGTCATCAAGTCACAATCACTAATGTTACATCCCAAGCAAAACTTAAGGATGACCCAGTTCTTTCTTCCCCATAGTAACTGTAAAATTTCAGTGATCCATAAAACCTTGCCTAAGAGAGATAGTTAGCTCAATGATAATAAGTTGTTTTTAAGGCTTTCCAATTAAGAATTCTACTTGGCTCCCTCTTTTTCATTAGTGAAAGTCTAATTTTTGAGACGAGGCTATGATTGTCAATGTATAAAGGAACTCAATCAAATCTCAGTCCATGGCAGATCAAGTTGGTTATTCCATAGACTTGCCACTATCTATATATTATATCATTCCTTTCTATTAAGGCATGGAAAGTGGGGGAGGCTATAACGTAAGTATTCTATGCAGTCCAAAAATATAATATATAATGCTGTTTTTAGTTAATTTGAAGTAGCATTAACTATATGATAGATTTTATGAGAACTAACCTATCCAGAATTTTATCTATACAAAATTGAAGACCTTCTGTAAAGTTTTTTTAAACACCATGTACTAAATTTACTAAATTGGCAAGTACCCTAATATCTTCTGGATCCAAACTATGCTCACTCCATGCTGAATTGATACTGCTATTCAGATAAGATCCAGATCTCCCCATGTCGAGCTCATCTTCATAGACTTCAGTAGCCAAATCATCTCGTGGATTATTGCTTGAATGGGAAAACTGTAAAAATACATTAGTTTTTTGCTAAATAAATATAAGGATGTGTAAGCATAAGAAAGAAATCAAGGAATGTGCACCTGTTCCTCCACCCACCCTGAATTTCATTTGGGAAAATTTGTAAGGCACATTTTGACATTCAAAAACTTAACATTAGACTGTTTCATAATTAAATGAAGATTAGTTGCTGGATATCAATCTGTTGGGAAATCAAAGTACATATTATCAGGCAAATTAAAGATCAGAGCTTCTAGAGTTACAAAGATGTTTGGATAGGGACACATTAGATTCCAGCTAGTCCTCTAGTTACAACCACTCATTAAATGACTGTTCAAAGTTATGACAGCACTGTCTGTAGCCATGCAGCATCCCACATAATTGCATGAGCATGATCTGGATGCTTAGCAAGTAGCCAGAATTCAGTGATTGTGAATTTTGATGTTCCCTGTCGGCTTCCTATAAGCAAAGTCAATGGGAAAGCCAGAAGGAAATTGGAAGTCACTCCAGCTTCTGCTGCTTTTTAAACTGCCTGTATTCTATAGTGCCACCCCCCATGCCCCCCATGGCACATGGTCTGTAATGACTGTCTTGTATCATCTGTGCACTAGCTTGTGCTTGAGTGCCTGCCTATAGCAACCCCTACTACCCTGTGGCACCTGTGAACTTGCCCATGCATCTGACCACACCCACTCATACACCAAGTTATGCACCCATTCCCCAGTGGCACCCAAGGTCCCCATACATTTTGGAGCCCACAGCACCAGCCTGTCCCTTCATGGCATCCATGCACCCATCTGAAGAACCTATCGATAGCATCTTCCCACCCCCGGTGGCACATAAAGTATATATGTAGTTACTATAGTATGCATGTGCCTTCAGATCTCACAAAATAAAAGTGCAACAGAAAAATACCTTTGGAATCAGAAGTAACCCAACGGTGACTGTCACAGTTAAGTGTGTGTGTGCAAAGAATAGCATCAGCATCCAATCAGACTGGAGTCTTGAAGCAAGACTGAACCTGTAAATCAAAATTTACATATAAGTAATAAATAACACCTCCCTCCACATTTTTTGTCATGTGGAATTTTTTTAAAAAAATATTCTGAACTATGCTTATAGCAAAAAAAGTCTGAATATAAAGTTACTAGTCTTTCATTGTTCTATTAAATATGGAGGTTTCTGTGTCTATTTCTCAGCACACATACTCACATCCCCATTTTGTTGTGTTGTGTGAGAGTGGAAACATCTACACAAGTATTGTGTGCATTTTGCCCATTATTGCTCCTGTTTTCAGAAAAAGGCATTAAAAAGTACAGTATACTGTAATAGGAATTTTCTATATTTAATAATATACTTATTGGATGATTATTTTGATCCCTTTTAATATAACTTCAAACCTGGGTTTATTTAATACGGTAGAATTTGATGGGAGAAAAGAATATTTTTGTTAATTGTGCTCATGCACAATATACCCCTGTGTCATTTGTCCATTATAAGATATATAAAGAACCATTATGTTACAGTAGTTGTGATGTCATGACTGCAGATAATGATGCAAAGGGTTAAACCTTTAGTTAATGTGACTTATGGCATTCCAGATAGTTCTCAACTTACAATCATTCATTTAGTGACTCTTTAAAGTTACAACAGCACTGAAAAAAGTAACTTATCAATAGTCCTCACACTTATTATCATTGCAGTATCCCCATGGTCATATAAACAAAATTTGGGTGCATGATCACCAGCATCTATTTACAATAGTTGCAGTATCCTGGGGTTATGTGACTGCCATTTGCAAAACTTCTCAGCTAGTTTCTGACAAGCCAAATCCATCAGGGAAGCTAGATTCTCTTAACAATGGCAATGATTCGCTTAGCAACCATGGCAAAAAAGGTTGCAAAATTGGATGTGGCTTATTGAACGACCATTTTGCTTAGCAATGGAAATTCTGGTTCCAGTTGTGGTTGTAGGGTAAGGACTACCTATATTGATTTTAATATCCATTCTAGGATAAGCTGAGTTTACAATAGTATTCCTGAGCCTAAGCTGTCCCATGGGCATTCTCAGAATGGAGGTGTATCTTCCTGCCTAGAAGAGGTTAAAGATACATTGGAATTTATGGAGGATCTGGGGATATTGGTAGAGGAAAAACTGAGATGCAATTTTACAACATTACCTTTTAATAAAGCGCTAAATCCATCATAGATGAAATTTTGATATGATTTCAAATTCTGAATGACTGTCCCAATTCCATCATCTATAATCTTGGGCAAGAGTGACCATGTCATATTAAAATTCAATATAATGTAAGCACAAGCAACAGAATATAATCCAACCAGTGTCGTAAAGTTTAAAAGAGCTGATTTTAACAAACTCAGAGTGACCTAAGAAAAATTCCATGGATAAAAATCCTAAAGGGGAAAACAATTCAAGAAGCATGGGAAACTGAAAAATATGACCATAAAAGCCCAGTCCAGCACAATACTATTGATAAAGTAAAACAAGAAATCCAAGAAGAAACTAGCATGGTTGTACAAAAATCTTTCTGATAAACTGTAAGACAAAAGGGATAAGTACAAAAACTGGAAAGAGGGACACATAACTAAGGCAGAATATCAGTATAAGGCTCAGAATGAAGCCTTCCTTCCTGACAGTTAGAACAATTAACCAGTGGAACAACCTGCCTCCAGAAGCTATGAATGCTCCAACACTGGAAGTCTTTAAGAAGAGACTGGATAGCCATTTGTCTGAAATGGTATAGGATTTCCTACCTGAGCAGGGGGTTGAACTACTAGATGACCTCCAAGGTCCCTTCCAACTTCTTTATTATTATTAAGAAAGACTTGCCATAACAGTTAAAGATAATAAAAAGTTTCTTTCAACATCTAAATAACAAGATGTTATTTAGCAGTAGAAAGAAAGCAGAGCTGCTTAACTCATTCTTTGCATCAGTCTTCACCCAAAAAGCCCAACCTACCAAAAACATAACTGTAAAAGACAGACTAGAAATAAAAATTAAAATAAGCAAGAAAATGGTAAGAGAACACCTGTCTGATCTTAATGAATATAAATCAACGAGACCTGACAGATTACATCCTAGAGTTCTGAAGGACCTGGCAGATGTTATCTCAGAAGCATTGTACCATATCTTTAAAAACTCCTGAAGCACTGGGGAACTATCAGAGGACTGGAAAAGAGCTGATGTGGTTTCCATCTTCAAAAGAGGAAAAAAACAGATCCAGGAAATCACAGACCAACCAACCTAGCATCAATACTTGGGAATATACTGGAAAAAATAATCAAAAAACAGATCTGTGAACATCTAGAAACAAAATTATAACTAGTAACCAGCACTGGTTTGTTAAAAACAGATTATGCCAAAGCAATCTTATTTCATTCTTTGATAGAGTGACTAAATTAGTAGGCCAGCGAAATGCTGTGGACATAGTATACTTAGATTTCAGCAAGGCATTTGACAAAGTAGACCACAACTACTTCTTGGTAAGCTAGAAAAATATGGGATAGACACCATCACCACCACATTGATTTATAACTGGCTGACCAACCGTACTCAACAAGTAGTCCTTATTGGTACTACATCTACATGGATGGAAGGAAACAGTGGAGTACTACAAGGTTCCATCTTAGGCCCAGTACTCTTCAATATCTTACTACATCTACATGGAAGGAAGGAAGCAGTGGGGTACAACAAGGTTCTGTCTTAGGCCAAGAACTTTTCAATATCTTCATAAATGATTTAGATGAGGGAATAGAAAGGGAACTCAACAAATTTGCAGATGACACTAGTTGGCAGGAATAGCCAATACCCCAGAAGACAAGCTTAGGATCCAAAAAGATCTTGACAAATGTAAACAATGGGCCATATCCAACAACATGAAATTTAATCTGGAGAAAAGCAAGGTTTACACCCAGGCAGGAAAAAACAAAGGTACAAGGACAGATTAGGTGAAATCTGGCTCAAAATAATAACTGTGAGAGGAACCTTGGACTCCTAATGGACGATCAGTTAAACATGAGTCAGCAGTGTGTGGCAGCAGCCAAAAAAGCTAATACAATCCTTGATTGTATAAACAGAAGCATAGAATCAAAATCACATGAAGTATTAATACTGTTTTATAAATGCTTAGTAAGACCGCACCTGGAATACTGCATCCAGTTTTGGCCACTACATTACAAAAAAGATGTTGAGACTTTGGAAAAAGTCCAAAGAAGAGCAGGTAAGATGATTAAGGGCATGGAAGCAAAACCTACTAAGAACGGTTGCAGGAATTGGGTAAGGCCATTCTAGAGAAAAGAAGGATTGGGGGTGACATGATAGCAGTATTCCAGTATTTGAGGGGCTGCCATATATTTTGTGGGAGAAAATCCCTGCTAGAGGTAGGAGAGCAAACAGTCCCCAGATAAAGGCAATAATATTTTACCACTGTCAGGTCTATAGCAGCAATTTGGGATACAGTAAAGAACAGTTGCAAGAATTGGGCATGTCTAGTGTAAAGAAGGACTAGGGGCAACATGATAGGAGTTTTCCAATATTTGAGGGGCTGCCATAAAGAAGAGGGAATCAACCTATTTTTCAAAGCAATCAGAAGGCAACATAAGAAACAACAGATAGAAATTAATCAAGGAGAGAAGCAACCTGTATTAAGGAGAAACTTCCTAACAGTGGCACAGCTTGCCTTCAGAAGTTGTGGGTGCTCCATCACTGGAGGTTTTTAAGAAAAGACTGGACAGCCACCCATCTGAAATGGTATAGAGTCTCCTGCTTGGACTAAAAGATCTCCAAAATCCCTTACAACTCTATTCTGATTAACTGTATGAAACTATTAGAAGGGATCGCCTAGGTATTATGCTTTAGTTGTCATAAATACTTTAATGACACCTAACTTTATCTCTTATTTATGTCAAAGAGAACCTAAGTCACTTATACTGGATTGGTTATGAATGTATAAACTGAAGATTAATCCAGATTAAACAGAAGGTAAAGTCAACTTGGATATGTTGTATTTTCAGTGAAAGACAGAGTTTGTACACTATAGTGCTCTTAGATCCATTATTGTTTAATGCTCAAATAGCTATACACAACTATACATAATATTCTTCTCCCCCATCAAATTACTTATCTTTGAAAATGTGGATCATACCAGGCCTCAATTTATGACCACAGTTGGTACCAGAATTTTGATTGCTGAGCAAGTCAACCATTAAGTAAGTCACACCTGATTTCATTACCTTTTTTGCCTTGGTTGCAAATTAACTGCAAATCACTTCAGTTGTTAAATAAATCACATGGTTGTTAAACGATTCTGGCTTTCCCAATTGACTTTGCTCATCAGAAGTCACTGGAAGCCCAGGATGCTGCAATTGTCATAAATATATGCTGGTTGCCAAGAGACCAAATTCTGATCATGTGGTAGTATTGGGTATTGGGCAATGGTTGTTAGTGCGAGGATTGGTTTCAATACACTTTTTTTCAGTGCTATTATAACTTTTAATGGTCAGAAAATGGACGAGGACTAGTTGTACATATACCTTACTTACATTATGATTAAAATATTACAACACATTTAGTATAAACTAGCGTTAAAGAAAGTGTAAATGGCATAAAATATTCTTATTACAGTTATATTGTCAATATAATCTATCAACTGCATTGGCTTTGAATTCATTTTTGGATCCAGTGCATATTACATAGCACATGATAAATGGATGATCTATGTCACATGAACTTATACATCAAGTAAAATTATTTTCACATCTTGTCCGTGCAAAGATGTGTGGTGATGAAAAGAGAAGAGATGAAAAAAGCTGTTTGCAGAAGTAATAGGCAGACATTGTACAATTTGCATCCATTTGAGACTATTTGCAAAGCTTTTCTTAATTTGTCTGGAGAGAAGGGCTTTTGTTGTGCCCTTCTGACATGCATCTCAACCCAGTTAATTGTTTTAGATTGCACACTAAGAACTTCAAAATAAACAGTGTGGGTCACTTGCCTAATTATATGGAATATAGCAGAGATAATGAGCTCAATGTGAACTGCAACAGCCATATAACGTGGCTCGTGAAACGCCGAGGGTACTGTCCGCACTGCATAGCAGAGATAAACGCTCCATAAGAGAAATAAAAATTCAGCTGAAAAAGAAATAAATGTTTCCGTTAGTATTTGTGGGGGGGGGCAATTTGAAATGATCATCCCATCCTCTTTTCCTGTTTGGAAACATGCACATATGAACACACTTTCATGCATCAGAATGGTATGTCCATTGCATAATACTGCTTTGCTTCTTATTTAATCTTCAACTGTCTGATAAATGTAGTTTTTACTTAGTAAATACAGCCACTATTTATTTCAATAGAAACATGTTGGTTCCACTTGATACTCTTCTCTGAGTATCAAAGAAATTTAACAGGAATATATTGGGTTTGGTAGCCTACACAATCCCTTGTACGATTCTAAAATTCTGTGTAGCCATCCAAAAATTTGATGGAACAATATGTGTTCTATATTGAGCATGGAGATAAGCAATTCATTTCCATCATAACCAGCAGGTGTTTGTCCTATTAATGCCAACTGTTTATAATATCTATGTATGCAGCATTGCATATGAATGTCCACAATGAATAAGTATCTAGATACAAGGGTGGTTTATTTATTAATCATTGTAGTGCGTTGGATCTAAATTACAAAAAGTGTTTCAAAGCATGTAGGAGAGAAAGAAGAATTGCTTTAAGATATTGCAGATAGGTGATACACTCCTGTTCCCGGATGCTCCAAAAGCATATTTTGGAGACTGAAAGTGAAGCACTGCTCAGTTCTATTTATTTTTGCTTAATTTTAAAGAGGAAAGATTTAATTTCTTTGCTTTAAAAGCACCCAAAGTAGCTTCCAAGAAAAATGCATCAGAAAACTAATTAGTCTGATAAGGCAAATAAAAGTCACAGCCGAAACCCAGTAAAAGGAAAAACATATTAAAATAAAACTAATCCTGCTCTCTAAAAGTCTTCAGTAACAGAAAACATTATTACATTTCAATAATCACCAAGGAGGGAGGAAGCCATATGCAAGAAAGGGAGCTCTATAGAGACTTAGATTATGAACTTCTTTATTATGTCCTGTAAAGAGGGGTAGAGTTATTAAAAGCAAAACCAAATTAAACAGGGTGTCCAGGAGAAAAAAAATTATGTACTATCTTCAACTTGTACAAAATAATAATGATAATAGTTGTTTCTGGCAGTTGGCTATTAGTATTACCATGGCACAAATTATATTAAAGTGATGATAACATGCTTTTACCAGTCCAAAAATGTTGAGAACCCTTGAATTGCAGACTAACATTCAGATCAAACAGGAATCTATTAAATATATGCCTAGAAAATGGAGATGCTTTGGCTGCTGAAAAATAATTAGATTTATCTGGATCCTACAAAAATCAAAACCCCTTTCCAGCACAAGCTAGTTTAAGTCTGTATATCTTTGCACTAAGCCTAAAATTGCACAAGTATAATTAGCAGTAATGAACATATCATTGTATTTGGGGGAAAAAACAATTTATTACCCAAAGCAACAATTACACAACTTAGATGTATCCTGTGAAATTATGTTGTAGGGTGAGGAATTAGCTTCATATAATTAACTCCAAACTAACATCACAATTTGCATAGGAAAGTCTGCAGATGTTAACAAAATTTAAGCATATTTTATGTTGCAGTCGGACCATGAACCATAATTCTGATTACACAGAAAAGGATACCTACTTTAATATGACTTGTTATTCTGATCCAATTATAAAGGCAGTACAGTATGTTCTAAGATCAGTACAGAGAACTGCTAATGCTACAATCTTTTTAATACAACTACTTATTTAGCAATTTTCTCAAAAAATAATGTGGCTGAAACCCTAAGGCTGAGAATTAACACATAGGACTGTCTGAGCAGCTAGTCCAGTACAATAAGAAAGTCTGAAGTTAATTAGGATGGGTGGGTGTTTCGATTATAATATCTCTTAGATAACTTTTTTCAAAGCCAGCACAACTGTTCATGAGTTTCATTCTGCAGAGAATGCATCACTGACCTCGTGCTAAATTACAACAGCTTTGAAACTGCAGTCAATATGAGTACATTTTTAAAGGAGCATGAAAATCAAGGAGCATTATTCAAGAAAAGTAAGATGGAATTCTTGGAACAAGTTTCATAGTTCCTTAGATCTTGGACATGTGTCCAAAATGCTCAGTTTGTCTAGACTATTTAATTTTGAGTTTTTTTAAACCAGTGATTTGGCTTAACTTGACTGCCTGAAATAAGCCATAAGTTATAAATGAATAACATACCGATCTGCATAGAACCTTGTCCACTAATACTTGAAACTGAATTGACTATATGTGAAATAGGCAGGGGTAAGGCCTCCTTCAATCATTTAATTTTCTTTCTAAATTTGAATAGGTAGAATTTACTCTTCTACCTCTTTACTCTTTGGGAAAAGACCAAGAATTGCCTTAAGAACAAAGAGGGATATCTAGGCTTCATAATTTCCTGCAGTCTAGATATTCTAAGAAACAATAGTAAGATGCAAAGCTATCAGGCATGAATGAATGTTTATCAAAGGCTGAAAAATTAAATGAAGGTGAAGTTAAAAGGCCACAGACATAGAAGCAAGTTTAATTAAACTCAGTCATAAAAGCACAATGGCAACCACAAAAATTGCATGATAGGTACTGATTTAAAAATCAACTATTTTAACTGCAATATGTTGCATAATAAAGTTATTGTGATATGACAGTATGGATAGTCATGGTGAACTATCACATGTCAGTATAGGATACTAACTGATTCCTGAATCTCAATAACTGCAGGAACCAAAGTTGAAAATATATTTTCTATAAAGGTCAAAATAATATAAATTAACCATTCTAAGTGATTGGAAGTTAAAGAGTTGAAGATTCAGTCTGCAATTGCCTAAGAATAGTTTGGAATCAGATTGTTATCTATAATGGTATAATTTTGGGTAGAAATTTCAGTGCCCACATACATTAGATTAAAGTACATTAAATTTGTACCAGAAGAATTTTGGTTTCCTAGATAACATTAAACAAGACTCTGTAGTGACATTAATGTGAACAGGTCTTTTTAAGATCTTTCTTTGCTCCTGCTGTTTTGGCTCCACACTGCTTTGTTATATGGTAGAAAGCTTAATTACAGATGTTCCATACACAAAGATACACACACATATAAAAACAATATTACCATATCAGTTTAGAATTTTTAACTGGGCACTCCAATATAACTTGAGAAAAGCAATAGAAGAATCAGATAACTTAACTGAAGTACAAATGCTGAAGACATACTGTATTAATGATGATATGAAAAGAGGGTTCAAAGATGTTTTATGGATCAGGAATATATTGTATATTTAGATGTATTAAAATTGTCTTGTCATTGCTTTTATTATTATAATCTTAAAAGGATGAAATAAAAAATACACAAAATTGAAAGTCCTGTGATGTTGTGTGCTTCATGACATAAACATATGTGTGATGCAATTTGCATAATTTGCATCTCTCCATGGAGATAAACTCAATAAACCAAAAATGAGCAACTTATATCCAAATGGCTCTTGGCTTAATTTACAGATGAGTTTGTGCTTTGGGCTTATGTTAGCCCTCTGCAACTCCTATCAGTTATCTCTCTGATAAAAGAGATAGCATACTGCCATTGAACTGCTTAATCAAGAAATAAGAGGGTTTCAGAAAGAGAAAAGAACATCTCAGATAGAGAATGCAGGTTTCCATAAACATCTTGCCGTACCACACCCACTCATGTTTTGCCCCAACTGTCTATGCAGTTCCCAAGGGATAATGTTCTATGAAATACAAGACACAAAAGAGAAAATTTTTGTTCACTGCATCAGTCAACAGTAAGCAACCTTGCTCTTTCTAAATACTTGGGCTAAATCTTTTTTTTTTCTTCCATATAATAGAGACATTTCTCAAACACTTTGGGCCAATTAGATGTGTGGAACAATTTATAGACTCTTAAATGTGAAAATTGTGAAATCAACTTGATATATCAAAAAAAAAAAGAAAAGAACAACTGTATGAAATGACAAAACACAATGTACTTCCTGTATCAGTGTACCACCTTACCCCATTGCATTTTATAGTTTTAAGCCATCTTGTTTCTGCTTTATTTCTGGGGTAGTAGAATTTTGATTATTTCTGGGGTAGCAGAGCCAGACTGTTAAAACTGTTGACATGTAGATTACCTCTATTTGTTCTCCAACCATATGAAATCTGTCTTCAATTTGTCTTTCAGGGTATGTTTCTTCCCCTTAGCCAACCAGTTTTTGAACCAGTTTTTGATTTACTTTAGATTCCATCAGGATTAGGGCTATTCTCAATGACCCCTGTTTCCAGGAAGTTATAGAACACCGACTCCCCTCCACATCTAAGCAGGGACCCTCCCTTCTCTCATCTCTCACAATGGCTACTGCTAAACACTTGCATTTGCCCTGCGTACCCCATTCCTGGTTCAGCCAAGATCACATCCTGCCTCTTTGCCTATGTAGTCTGAATTCAGGAAGGAAAGAAAGGAGAAACAGATAGGACCTTCCAAATAGGAAAAGTGATTGCCACAAAAATTGAAGAAAGAAAATAAATCTGCTCTGGCACTTGTGGTTGAAGACACGGGGAAAACACACGTGGCCCTGTGGCTATGTCATGCATGGTAGCCTGACCAAATTCCAGCTGCATTTCTGCCCCACTATCCAGCTGGACATCTCCTGCCTGTTGTATCTAAGGAGGATCTGAGATTGATATATGATGCCTGGGGCTTCCTGTCATTGACTAGGCTGGGATAGAAAGCAAGTTAGTAGCTATAGAACAGTTACTTTTTCCAACCTATTTTCTGTCTTAAACACCCTCCCAAAGGCTCTTGAGGAAGCTTCAGAGCAGTGAGTTAATATGACAGGCCTCTCGTGGATAGGTATGTAACTAAAAGACAGGAATAAATGGAGATTAAGATAGGGCTTATAGAGTAGGAGAACTCTCATGGTGATAGATTTTATTTTTGTTCTCTGGGTAGCTGAAATGGAAGTAATTGTTGTAGAAGTGTCAAGGAGAAAAAGCAAGGAAAACAGCATTTCAAAATAAAAGCAATTCTGTTTTCTCTGCCAGTGAAAGTGTGTGTGTGTTTGTGTGTATTTGTGTGTGTGTGTGTGTCTAAAAAAGAAGTCCATCTGACTTCATAGGGTTTGTTATGTGTGAAATGAGAGGGAGAAGTACTATGTGTGAGCTCTTAAATGAAAAGATGGGATATAAATCTAATAAACAATTTTGACATGAAAAAAATAAAATAGTAAATATTTAAATTTTGTATCCAAACTGTTTCTCCTGCATACACAATTAATTTTTAATTTGAGTGTTGTAGGTATTTTATATGAAATGCGTCATTTTACCACTGTATACAGTATATGGCCTGGTCATTTTATAGGGATCCTTCAGCAATCTAGGTATGTATGTAAGCCTGGGAGATACAAACATGGTGTTGCATTGGACTCCTAACTACCTTAAACTGATCCTGCCTTTGCCCATTTGCCAGTGGAATTATCTAGAGGTGGAAAAGAAACCAAATGCCAACAAGACCCAGACATTTTTGTGATCTTCCCAGAAACCAGTTGGATGTTGAACTAGAGAATATGTTATTGGTTGACTCTAAAGTCAGTAATTGGGTAATTGCACCTAATAATTGATTAATGTGTTCGGTTCTTCTACTAAATCACTGGAAAATACCATAAATATAGTCAGTAATTAGACAACATATGTAGTATTTGCAAAATATACCAGAGGAGAATTACTATTAAACAGAAAAATTTGATTCCTTCCCCCCTCCCAACCTGTTGACCTATGTGACAGCACTAATTAAATCAAGCATGTACCCTAACTAGAAACTTCATATCTAAATGGCAATCATATTTGTTGAACTTTATAGTGTTTACATTTTTTCTTTGACTTGTGCAAATGAAATAAGGGTCTGGAAAACTGAGTACTATATGCATTCAATTTCATATGTCTGGAAAACCATTTATTACAATAATTTGTCTGTAAATTATTGCACTTAGTTTTTTTAATAGGCAAGCCTGAAATATACCTAGATAATGCATATATGTCACACTTGAAGAAAGGAGGAAATGATTTTACTAGCAATTTTCCATTTTTCTGCAAATTCTGAACTTTTCCAAGATGTGTTCTAACAGAAAACTTTGTTTCTTAGACACATGGTGGCTGAAATTTTGGAAAAACAAAAACTAGTTAGCTACTGTCACTCAGTGCTGATTACTACAATTGCTCTTTAGTCAGTATCAAGCTTGAGAAAAAGAAAGAAAAGAAGCCCAAATGTCTTAGTGAGGCCTATAATTCTTCTAATCTTCAGTGAGACATAGTGGAATCCTCACTTTCCTCACTGTATATACGTATACGTATACATATAGGTATACGTATAAATATACATATACATATACATATACATATGCATATACATATACATATACATATACATATACATATACATATACATATACATATACATATACATACATACATACACACACATATATCTCAAAGAAAGGAAAGTACTCAGCACTTTCACAGACCTAAACAATTCTGAATTTGTAGCCACAAACTGGATTTTTCAAAATGGCAGCATCATTTTTTTTTTTCAGGACCAGATGAAAGTTTGAAAAAGTTCGGCTTAAATCAGTAAAAGAAATAGTGTGCTTGTGTAAAATCCAAAGCATTTGTTTTGACATTTTCAAAGACTGATCAGTCTTAATATTTCCATACAAAGTTCTCTGTAATAAACTCAATTATCACAGCATCCAAATGTCCTTTTCTATCACTTATTTCTGATAAATTATTATTTTTTCAATGACAAAATAATACTATGTAAAATAAGAGTTTAAGACAATAAAACTGTATACTGTGAGGGATATGGGCAGTTCTTAAATTTGACAAATAAATAATTGGGGAATAACATTTAGGAAACCAAGAGTTACTTCTTAGTAAATCTGTACAGACTATTAATTAAATTTATGAGATTTGTCCATATCACCGTGCATTTGGGTTAAAAGAGTGTTTTTAAAACAACTAAGCAGATGGTTACTCTCATTGTTATAAACATCAACCATGGCATCTTACCAATAGCCATCATGTAATCCCACCGATCTATCAGGCACATATTGAAGATCAGATGATCTGATGTTTGCCCTCGTCCGATGAGTGAAATATTTCGCTGCAAGTTTTCACAGACTGCTGAAGTCCAGCCTGTCAGAAACCACACCACAACCAAAAATATCACAGCCAGCATCTTCATCACTCGCCCACCTGTCATATATGGAATTCGCTGAGCTGTTCGAGAAAAGAACACCTTCAAAGCTCTGCAGAACAAAGACACATGATATCATTAATATTACTAATGCCTTCACCCTTGCTTTTCATCATGGGTCAAATAACTTTGATTGCAGCACATGACCAATTGTGGCTGATCTAGGAAAATAAGCAGAAACACACCTGGTTAGTACTTAGACTGTTGGCTAGATTGAGAAGTCAAACCTTTTTTTTAAGAATCCCAGAGGAAGGACATGGCACACCCCTTCCATAACACTATCAAGAAACCTGTGTGGGTGAAAGTCATCAAGAGTTGACCTTGATTTCAATCCAATCTTTTATCTTTTATTTGGAAGAAAAAGACTGTCCAAGTTAGGCTAAAGTGGAATACAGAAAATCTTCACTCTACGAAAGGAAGATACAATAATGAGGAAGTACATCCACCTTTGGTGATGGCAGACTGGATCTATTATGCATGTTTCTTTGGATACATTATTTCCTTTCACCTGGTCATTTTAGAACTCTTTCCACAATGCAATGGTACAATCTAAACCTACTGGTTTCTATGTATAATTGGAATTGGCAATTTTCAGGGGGGGCGGGGGAGGGTTCAGCATACTTTGATATCCAAAGTGGATGGGTGGTGAAGAGGATGAGGTCAGTCCAACAGAGAAAAAGGCCTGATAAAAAATAAAATAAAATCAGTAAATAAATACAGCAAGCATCACACTTTTTCATTTTCTGCCCCTTCCTGATTTTGCCACTAACATGCCAGGATGTGATTTCTGGGTACTCTAAAGAGCAACAAGGAAAGGGGTTTAGAGGATTGTGTTTCCTGCAAGCCATAGATTGCCTACCTTGATGAGAAGATGCATCTGTTTGGGCTAACCTGTAAGAGCAGCACCACTGTTTTTCTTGGCTAACCTGTTTTCCCACATCTGCCCCAATTCCAGAACTTAACAGTGAGATATTCAAAGATCCATGTGCAATTTCCACCATGAAATTTGGATGTTTTCACATAGCACAATTAATTCAAAGGTTCTTCTAATGTGCCCTATAAAAACAGCTGAGCCAACTTCTTAGGTTGATTATGTATTCCTTTGAGGTGCATTAGTTTTCAGGCAACTTCATTATTTTCTTCTAAAAATCATCAATAGATTATTATCTCCCTTTGCTTATTTGTCCCTTATCAAAATTTTCCACAAGGAGTAAAAAAAGTCAATATTTATCAGGGTGCTTACATATGAAAATAGATCTGAGTCATGCTCACTAGTAATCCTCACTAATACACACAGAACTTAATACCCTAGAAAACTTTGAACCAAAGTCTGCCTGATGGGGAAATTGTGCAGAACCTCAGTACTGAATAATCTTGATGCAATTCTTAAAATATATTATAGTTCACCCTTCCTTCAGGCAAGCATCTTTTGTCATTTTAAATACTTCATCATTTATTTTAGCAAAATATTCATTGGTTCATAAGCTGCCACAAGTTCCTTTGTTCTCTTTTTTGTTGCATGCAACAAAGTGACAAAGCTTCTTTTCTAGAAATGCTACTATTCAAGTCTCTTGTTTTCTAAACAACCTTGTTACTATAATGCAGAACTATGCAATCTAAGACTAGGGCAGGGGTGTCAAACTGCCAGCCTGTGGGCCGGTTTCATCATACCGAAGCCACACACCCCCACTGCCAGCAATGCAAAAAGAGTCGCAATACATCGCAACACAGCATGTGAAATGGCGAGTTTGACACCCGTGGACTAGGGCAATAGTTTCCAATCAATATTAGCCATCAAAGGAAAAATAATGTAGTAAGAAAGAGAGTTAATCATAGTAATAGTATTTAATGAATTGTGTTTATATTTCATCAAAAATGTAGTTTTTGAGGAGTGTAGTTCTTGATTAGGAAAAAAGTTTGCGCCCTTATTGTTTTAGACCAATTTTCACCAAGATTTGCTTTCATGCGTAAGAAATGTTTTTAAAAGAAGATATGCATAAGGCAACTTTATAGATTTCCTCACGCATAAAAAGACAGCAAACCAAGCTCTTTGCTGCATTTTTTTGCCACCCCCAAAAAAAATCTACAGAAAAAGGTATTAGTTCATTGCTTGAAAATGAGATTCTATTATGAGAAAAAGGCCATAATGCACTCTTATACTTTTGCACATACATTTGTGGATGCATGCGCCCTAGATTTATACAAAAGTAGAAACAGCAAAGTATCCTATACCTGTGCAGCTTGAGTGTGACTGTTCCATAAACTGTAGCAAATCCCAGAAGACGAACCCACCTTAGGAGAATACACCGAAAAACACTTGGCTCAAAATATAAAATGACAACCTATAAAAGAAAAGGAGATATTAACTAAATCTAAATTAGACTGATACAGTATTGGATCAATCTATTTTCCTTTCTTCCTTTTTGGTAAAATTACAGAATGAGAATGCCTATGGAGAATTGATTAAACACTGAAAAGAAAAGAAAGATGTCCTTATCAAATCTTGATTTCTCTTTGTTTTCTGCAAAGTTGAGGTAATGTGGCACACAATCCAATTGAATGGATTGTATTAGATGTTTAAAAATGGAAAGTGTTTCCAATCAAAGCTCTCTCAAATAAGCATCTTTGCAAAAAAAATCTGAAATGACACATTCCAAATTTTGAGCTAAACCATCCCTTTGTTTGGCTTTTATTCTTATATGTGGGGATATTCTCTTTCCCATATTTTATCCATTTTGGAAAACTCCTACATGAGTGGCAATGAATTTTGATATTGATGCTGGGTATTTTATGGAGTTAGGTATAATCTTGTTCAACATTTTGCATTTTCTTCTTGTTTTTTAAGGAGAGCGTTTTTTTCTGTATTCTATTTGCCTTTCTTCAAATAATAATGTATTAATGATCATTGTTCTCTATTCTCTATTTTATTATTTATTTCATTTTTCATTTGTATGTTTGCATATTCATATTTGTATATTTATATGTTATTTGTATATTTGCATAAATATATTTATATCGTTGTATATGCATAAAATCATATAGTATCAATCATAGTATCAATTCATTTTTACTTATTGTTTATTTTCAATTTTATAAAAGCTACTTTGAATTTTTAGTGGGATATCAATATATTGAATAAATATATTGATAAATATATCAATAAATTGATAATAATTAATAAATCAGTAATAATCTAAGCAGCTTGATCAATTTTCTTTGTATCTTACTTAAATTGTCATTGCAGCCAGATGAAATTTGTATAAGAGTGATTATTCAAACTGATCTGAATACTCAGAGCTTTATTCTCCCTTAACAGCTGAAATCCATGTTGCTTTTTTCTATAACTCTAGAAATCCATGAAGAAAGAATGTAAAACAGCAATTGCTTCCACTCAGTTGTAACTGACTCTATGATAATAGTTAATAAAAAAATAAAAGGCCACTGTTTTATGGCAATATAAAACACACATTCATGCTGCATAACTGGTTCAAGAATTCTGGGAGTTGAAGTCCACGAGTCATAAAAGAGCCAAGATTGTCTACCCCTGATCTAGGCAATAGCAATAAACACACTTGCTATGGTCCAATAAGTGCTTAAATACCTACTTAAATAAAAATCAATGTTTTAATAAATTATCTTAAAGGCAAGATTCTAGCCATTTTAAAATATTTATTTATTTATTATGAAATATATATCCAATTCCCTATAACTCTGAGCAGCTTACAATTAAAAAAAAAATTACAAAAGACAAAATAAAATATGAATGGTCCCCAAAACAACAGATGACCAAAGAAAACCTATTTGCATCCTGCCCTAGAGCCTGGGTGAACAGCCAGATCTTCCATATCTTTCTGAATGCCATCCAGATTTTGGAGTGGGGGTAATATCATTCCAGCAGGTGGTATCATAACAGAGAACATTCAAAGTTGAACGTTCAGAATATCTGTCTTATTTTCCTGACAAAATTGCCAAAGAGTTTGAAGTGCAATTAATTCTGAACTAATATCCTGAAACTGAATTTATGGAATGTCATGCTGTTTAACATATCTGGAAGATTCTAGGATGGGAAAGGCTGACTTAGTGTATATGCCCAGAATAAGACAATATCTAGGACAAGCTTATTATATAAGAGTTTTTAGATGGATTTCTAAATTAACTTGAGTTGGAAACTTAACTGTATAAAAATTGTGTTTCTACCCAGAGAAATTTTCCACCCAGAGAAAAATGAAGAAGTGGATTTTATTTCAAGACATATCTCTGAGGGATAAAATATATCCCAACAGTTCCTGACTAGTTAAAGTCACTCATACTGTGGACAATACATAACTTCTGGCTTCAAGGAACTGCTTGTCCAGCTGTTACAAGAGTGGTAATTGTGTTCTCTAGCCACCATTTTGCAGTTCCATAAAATCCTGGGCTTAATTTGTCCTGGTGCATTTGTCAGTGAAAATAGTGGAGGCTATATCTAAAATATTATGAAAATAACAGCCAGAATTTTAATCTTCCAGATAAATTGGTTGGTTATTTGAAGGCATTTTAAATGTTCAAATAATATTAAAGCTTATTTCAGATGTGTAAAATTAATTACAGGAGAGTAAACTGTGGGAGTGAAGGGAAAATCAAAGTGCAGAACTCTTACTTATTTTTCTAGCTGTTCTGAGGAACAGGTATTAAAGAAAAAGTGTCCTTAAATGCCATTCTCAACTAATAAGTATCACAATAATTAATGGTTGCAGAAGCAAAGTTGCTTAAGGTCACTCATATAAATTCTAAAGAAAGTTAATGGATTGGATTTTTAAAACCATCCTGGTGACCCTGCAGCCCCCATTTCAACTGGAATTCATTTTAATTGGGGCTAATGTATTTATGTTTCTGGAACACTGATCCTAAACAAATTATGGCAGGTTGCATTGGTTACAGTGGAACATTTTATGATCCAATATATATGTACAGATGTTCTTTAGGTCAGTCTAAAAATACATGTCTCCAAAGTGTTTAATTTTTCAAACAATTTTTAAAAATAACTGAAAATTTATATTTTCTATTGTATTATACACAAACTTTTTACACAACTTATCTAACTATCACAATTAAGTTATTCTATATCCACCAAGATATGCTTTTTTTAATGCAGCTTTCTTATTTTATATTATTTAAATAAAACATAGTCATAACAACCTTTCTTTACCCAACTCAGCCAAGTATACTTTAAAGTTTTATACAGCTTTCCAAATGTATATAAACTTTTTGCATACTGCAGTGGTCACCTTTGGTAGATTGTTTCAATGTCCTCAGTTTACAATCTGCATTGGGACTGACGCTTCCATTTTTAAGTTGAACAGTTGTTAATTGAGTCACACTTAATTTTACAACCTTTTTTGCTGTGGTTGTAAGCAAATCACATTATCATTAAACTAATCTGAGTTCCTCCAGATTTTATTTCTCAGAAGCCCTCCAGGAAGGTCACAAATAGTGATTGCGTGACCTTGGGATGTTGCAACTATTGTAAATAGATGCTGCTTGTCAAGCACCCAAATTTTGATCATGAGATGCTGGGACTGGTCATTGGCCACTTTTTTCAGCACTGTCATAACTTCAAATAGTTACTAAAGAATGGTTATAAGTCAAGGACTATCTGTAAAGTATTGATTTCCAAATGGTAATTCATAGGAATATTTTGGCAAGTGGAGCAAGTGCTAATGCCTAGAATCTCAATAAATCACATTTTTTTTATTGATTACAATTTTTATTTTTTTTAAAAAGTAGTTCATCTTTCTTTAATTTGGTAGGCCCTGCAGATACCAGGTAGGTAGTTCAAAGTATGTCATAAAGCTCATGTGGAACTCATGTCAACCTCCAGTTTATACAATAATCCTCACAAGCTTTAAATGATAATGCAATGGCCCTCATAAAAAGAAAATAGGAGTCTACCGACATTTCAGATTTATTGTCCATTATATTACTTAGTCGGTTACATCTGAGCATGTAGATATTTGCACCCACTCAAGAATGGCCATTTTTGTTTCTCTGCATCACTTTTTTCAAGGTGGAAAAACTTAGTTACAATGGTGATCAGTAAATCATTGGAAGACCTGAAAGACCTGGTTAGAGACAGATCATCTTGGAGGAAATCTATCTGTATAGTCACTAAGAGCTGACAACAACTTCTTGGCACATAATCAATCAATCAAAAATAAAAGCAACTCTGAGTATGAAATAAAACTGCCAGGCATTGCCTACAATGAGAAGTAGAATAGAATAGAATAGAATAGAATAGAATAGAATAGAATAGAATAGAATAGAATAGAATAGAATAGAGCTGGAAGGGACCTTGGAGGTCTTCTACTCCAGCTCCCTGCTCAAGCATGAGGACCTATACCAGTGGTGGCAAACCTCTGGCACGGGTGCCAGAGGTGGCACTCAGAGCCCTCTCCGTGGGCACGTGCGCCATCGCCCCAGTCCTAGGCCTTCAGCTGGGTTTTATAAAACCTTTTCACTTTAGGCCTCCGCCGCCGTATGCAAAAAAAAAAGAAGGTTCAATCAGTCAATTTCAACTTCTCACGGGGGAAAAAAAAGATCTTGCAAAGTTGGAATTGATTGATTGAACTTTTTAGTCCCACCCAGTCTGTCGTTACCACCACAGCCATGCCCACCCAATTGGCCACACCCAGCCAATGGGCCACACCCACCCAGCACCCGACGATGCATAAGTGGGTTTTGGGTTGCAGTTTGGGCACTCAGTCTCTAAAAGGTTCGCCATAACTGACCTATACCATCTCAGACAAGTGACTGTCCAGTCTTTTCTTAAAAACCTCCAGTGATGGAGCACTCATGATTTCTGGAGTCAAGCTGTTCCATTGGTTAATTGTCCTCACTGTTAGAAGTCTCTCCTTAATTCCAGATTGCTTCTCTCTTTGATCAGTTTCCAACTGTTGTTTCTTGTCCTGCCCTCTGGTGCTTTGGTGAATAATGTGACCCCTCTTCTTGGTGGCAGCCCCTCAAATACTGAAATACTGCTATCATATCTCCCCTATTTCTTCTTTTCTTTAGACTAGCCAAACCCAAGTCCTGTAGCAATTCTTCATATGATTTAGTCTCCAGGCCTTTAATAATCTTAGTTGCTCTTCTCTGAATTTTTTCCAACCTCTCAACATCTTTTTTGTGATGTGGTGACTAAAATTGGTTGCAGTATTCCAGGTGAGGTCTTACTAGGTTTTATAAAATGATACTTATACTTCGTGTGATCTTGGTTCTATGACTCTGTTTATACAACCCAGGATTGTATTAGCATTTTTGGCTACTGCACACTGCTGGCTTATAGTCAAGTGATTGTCCACTAGGA